AGCCAATTTCCATTTGTCCGCTTAAAGTTAATTAAATTTTTAAAGAGTGTGGGGTGAGTAAAACACTTTTTTGTTACAAGCCCACCATTATGCATCTAAATTTGTTCAATGCGCCTCTTTTAGAGCATCAAAACAAGGCTGATGTAATTGCTGTTACAGCGTTTGAAACAAAAAGCTTTTTCAACTGAAATTTATTTCCAAAAAAAGTGCAGAAAAATATTATTTTCACTATCTCTTAGACACTGTTACCACAGTGAAAATACTAATGATGTTTAAAATCAATTGAAAAATGAATATTAAGAATTTAGCGCTATATTTACTATATACACTTTTATTCCCGCATATGGCAAATAAAACAAAACAATATTGGCTAAAAAAGGCTATACTTAAATACCAAAATAAGGCGGCAAAGTTATTTATAAGAATTCACATGCGTGGTTGTGTCTGAAGCAGAAGGTCTGCATAACTAATATGCAACACTATTCGAATGTTTTGTACAAAAAACGCATTATCTGCTGGAAAAAAACAAACTCCTTGCGACATATTTTTCAGTGGCAGACATGCCCATTTTAATATTGCATAGCACTTTTAATAGCGAGCTGAATGCATAATGGTGATGTGTAATGTTTTTGCCTACTTTTCTCTTTGAAATATACTAATATTTATACTCTAAATAGAAATACCAACAAAAATCCCGATAGCAATCAACTGTTGTTTTGTCATACCTGGTGTACGTTTTTTGTTTGTTCAAACCAGTGGACACTTTGTAACATGATTTCTTGGTTTCCGCTACTCCCCACCCATCACAAGGGGTGTCATTCGGGTGGCATTCTTATATCGGTTGTTTTGAATGCGCAAACTGCCTTATGCGCTCCTTTGTGACAATTGACAAAGGGATGACCATTACGCATTAGTAGTCAGACGATATCCCGCAGCCAACCTCTACGATTGCTCTTTATCTTAAAATGATAAAGCATAAATATAGTATGCGCTTGTTTTGAATAGTGCTATATCTGATACGACCCTTGCGGCACTTATGAATCACAAATACGCCATATAAATAAGCATAACATTTTTGTGCTAATCTTTTTAACCCACACGTCTAATATTAATACCGCTTAGTGCTCACATATTAACATACTCTTATAGACAGATTCAATGTTTTCAAACACCGAAGACTGGCGCAGCTTCAATACAATAAATCAGGGGCCTTTGCAGATGGAAAATTTGACACAGGACCCAAACAAACAAGAAACCTGCAAAACGCCTATCAAGCAAAAGCTATACACGCACAACTTGGATATTAATACCGAGTCTTTGCCGCTAGCACAGTTTTTTGAGCGCGAAAATGCAGGCTCAAACAGCGCATTCGGCTCAAATCAAGCATTATCTGATTCTCTCAACATTATACCAACCGGAGACAACCTGTCGTTTCCTGATTTCAGCGAACGTGTAAGTGTATATTTGTTTGATTATAAAGCCTTGGAACAATGTATACGTGTGATGCAACGAGTGACTAGTGTGTTGTTCATTGCTTATTGTCCGCATTAATAATTTAAAAGACCAGGGGTAAAAATCGATTATATTTTTTATTTTATTTCAACAAATAGTACCTACAAGCAGCAGCACAGCTTTATCGGCAAGATAATTGTTCTGATAACCACACCAACATTACAGGTAAGTATAGTAATTAATAGTTTACGCTTCTTGGCACTATTCTAGCATTATAAACATATATTAATTAGCGGCTGGTTGCTTTATGGACAGCCTCAAAGACATTGGGCATAACAGGAATCAAATATCCTAGTCAGAATTTAAACATGCCAACATGTCGATATGCGCTGTTCATAAATTCACAAATTGATAACTGATTGACGACTGGCTTACAAGTTGCATGGTTCATTGGTGAAAGGCAAAACTTAATTTACTTACATTTTACTCGCATTTAAAATATGTAGCGTATGATGGCGATTCTTCTCTTTGGCCAAATATCAATGTTGACTCGGACTTGTTTGGCGGGAAAGTGGGACTTTTTCTGCCGCCCAAATTTGTTTCTACAGACCTCACTATAACGCCCATGCCAACAGCTGCATTCAACAAAATGTCGGCGACATCATCCACTGCAGCATTTACCCCTTCTTCCTCTTTGGTTAGCGCTACTACAATGTCCTCTTACATCAGCACTCTACATGAGGCTAACATATTTTCTTTGCCAGGAGCAGTGGCCGCGCAACGCTCAATGTTTGAGATGACCAACATTGAAGGTCAATGGAATCCTGCCTTCATACCAAGCCACCATGTCGCCACTGACAATTCTGACTTGCATGCCACGCCCACAGAGAATATGCTGCCACAAAAAGCTGCAATGGCCGATAGCCAATGCAACAACCCCATTTCCCCACCACAAATGCCCATTCAACCGTGCAATGGGGGCACCCTTGCTGCTGCCTCGCTAATTGCTGCTACCACCTTGGTTGCCACATCTGCAGCTGACGCTGAATATAGCGACTTGTTCCCTGCAAAGAGCCCCGACTTGAAAACCGCCCTTGGCAACACAACCACCACCCAAAATGATGTTAGTGATGGTATGTTAGATACTAATAGGCTAGCAATAACCGCCCGCGCCCAGGATTTTCTTTCTCCGCACCTTTATCAATCTCTCCACTTTATTCCTGACATGGACAATTTTCCTCCACTTAACAACCTGATGTCTCCGTTCCAGTCATTTGGTCCACCCCAAACAACACAGCCTCAGCCTCAAACACAGACGCAGTCGCAACAATATCAACAACAGCAGGCACAGCGACAAGCTTACAACGATCAACCACAGCAGCATCAGCATCAGCATCAGAATCAGCAACAACAACGACAACGACAACAGCTATGCCAGACAGAGCAGGTAGGCCACTCTGCCGACAAAAAGGGTACATTTGCACAAGCTTCACACTTGTTTGAAATGTCTGCATTTAACTCTCCTGCTCCAGATACAACCAACTCCGCGCAGCACTCCACATCAATGTCTGTGTCGCGTATAACCGGGCCTGGCATAGCTAGCAGCAACCATCTGCTGGGATTTGACCCAAGCCGACCTATAGCCCCGTTCTCGTTTATCAGACCGGCTTCGCTCGCACCCGGAGACGCAGTTGGCGTCAGTGGAAACAGTGGTTTTGATGACAACATTGCTGCTGCCTCGTACCATGGCATGTCGTACCCAACGCTTCCTTCAGAAAGTATGCATGCGCCATCAGGAATGCATGGCCCAATCGGCCACAACGCTGGCGGATTTATGTCCAGCCCGATGATGTCCCAGATGAGCTCGCTGCCTTTAGCGGAAAACATCCAAATGCACTCTCAACAAGGTAGCCACGCGCATCCAAGTAGCTCTCTAGTGTCACAGATGCGTCCGTACAACATGGCGTTTGGCATGCCTGGGATGGGAGAACAGTGCATAATTTACGACGACCGTATGCAGGTGCCACCAATGCCCCACCAAGGGGGCAACTGGCTGCGGATCAGACAGCCCATCGACTATGTTGCGCCCCTCAAGAAGCCAATGAACTCGTTTCTGCTGTATTCCGCTGAGCGGCGCGTACAGCTCAGGCAAACGCACCCAGACCTAAATACGACCCAGCAGAGCACTATTTTGGCCCGCGAGTGGGCTAGCCTTGCCGAAGAGGAAAAGGAAAAGTACCGGGCAGACGCCAAGCAGCTCCGCGAGGAATACAACGCTCGGCGAGCAGAGCTCAGCCTCAAGCTTCAGCAGCAGCTTAACCAGCAGCATCTCAACATGAGCCTTGCACATCAGCCGCACCCGCCACCACATACACACGCTTCTCACCACCAGTCATCTCTGGATGTATTGGACGTCGGAATGCTTTCAAATGATCAAAATGCGCACATGCAATCTCCCAGTACGTTTGGGGCAGGGTTCTCGCAGCAACATTACCCCAACGCGGGCTTACAAATGCCTTCTCATACGCAGTTCTCACAACTCGCGCCTAGTGCTAGTCAAGGTCATTTTTATGGTCGCCACACGCCAGTGGCATCGTTTTCACAACCCCCGCACGAAGACATTGCATATGGCTCCTCTCGAGCAATGGCGGTCAACATGTCGGACAACTTCCAATTCGATTCATCGCTGTCTACGCTGGATGCTTCGTCTGGACCCGCTGGTCAGCACTATGCGCGGACAGTCGGGCGTAACACACCTTACATGCCAGATAACAACACAGGCGGCAGGGCATTTGGCGATGACTTTGACAAGCAAGGTATACATTAGTGAGCCCCCCAAAATAAACAAACGGTTGACTGTGCACACATCCAATTTTTTCACGTAACACTAAAATGGTATTATGCATCTATTTGTAGATCATAGATGGCAGGAAGTTAATTTAATGGGTTCCGAATATCAGAAGGACCACAGTTCCGCCCAATACCAACATAACCAGAGCCAGAACCAAAGCCAAAATCAACATCAACATCAACATCAACAAGGCCAGGCTCAGTACGTTATTCCTCGACCCTCGTCAACGTTGTCTTACTATATGAATGCTGGTGAGCAGCAGCAACAACATAATACATACCAACAACAGCAACAGCAACAATACCAGCAACAAGGCTACAAAAACAATAACAACGGCAATTCGCACAACAGTCTTGTCAGCACTGCAAATAGCCTGCTGAACGTCTTTGATAATGCAATTCACTCTGGTGAATTTGGAAATAGTGGCGGCATTCCTAAGGACATTAGCAAGTCAGCCTCGTTTGCCACTTTTGCCGACATTGGCTCTCTGGCAAATTTAGACAGCGGCCTGGATGCCGCTGACTTTGGCTCTGCCGGGAGACGAGGTGCTCTGACGGGTCAGCCAAATAACACCGACTTGAACCATATCAGAGAATACTCTGTTGCCACCACTGCCAACATTGCGGACAGCACCAATGTTGGCGATCGCAACCAGGCAGGCTCATCAAAGACGCGCGCTCGTCCTTCCAGCCCAGCCAAAAGGGCTCGAAAGAAAAGCAAGAAGGACCCGGATGCCCCCAAGCATCCTATGTCTGCATTTCTATACTACTTGACATCTGAAAGACCACGGCTTGCCAAACATATCGGCGACATGACTATTGGCCAGCAGACAAAGCTCATCGCCAAACAGTGGAAGGTCATGGATGATAATAAGAAGGCGCCCTGGGAGAAAATGGCAAGAAGCGACAAGGACCGTTATGCACGCGAGCGGCGAGAGTATCACAGCGGGTCTCAGCAGACTGGGACGCCCGCCCCTACGAGCTAAACACTTCGCGCTTCTCAATTATGCAGTTTTCATATTTTATATATACATCCACCAAACCATTCTGACAATAAACTGACTATCACTGGTAAAATTTTCTATAACAAGTATTAAAAAAATTCTCGTACAAAATACAGAGTACTCGGGTATTAAAATTATATATGTATGTATAAATTCGATGTGAAATACAGAACATATTCGAAATACCAAAAAATCACCCGTCAGTCGTCTGGATTGGCCACAAAGAATTTGTTTTTCTGCGAAAACATATTGATATCAATGGAGCCTCGCACCAAGGTTGACATGTGCTGGTTCTGAGCATCAGAGCCCCGAGCATCCGGCATTGAGCCAGCACTTGAGCTAGTCGAATCGCCGCCATTTGCACCGTGTTTTCCGTTCCAAGCAGCGTCGCCATATGCGGCAGGCATGGCTGGAGGGATCAGTTTTTTGGTTGCTTCGTTACCATTGCCATTGCCGTCAGTATTGGTAGCATTGTTGCCAAGAGAATCCATCATGAATTGAGCAGGGAGCTGCGGCAGGCTGGGGCTCTCGGGGACGTCTTCCAGCTCTTCAAAACGGTAGCGAGCCAACGCGTTGGCGGTCTCCATTGGCAGTGTCAAACGGCTCCCAACAACGCGCGGGAGCATGGCAGAAATGTGCTTAGACTTGCGACTGGCTCGGCTGTTCGCCGTGGAGGGCCGCGACCAGCCGCCTCCATTATCCTTGCTCATCACGGACACCCTTTCCTCGACGCAATCGGCGCCATCCAGATCATCACGGTTCCGCAGACCTGTTGGAAGCTGCACATTATCCAGATGTGTTCTCCGAATAAGCTTTGAGTTTCTCATTTGCGGGTCCGTGTGTTTCTCGCGTGTATTCGGGCTGCCCAGCAAGAGGCTCTTGTCGATGCTGGAGCTTCTGCTGACATCAAACATGATGTGCCGGCTGGCGTCGTCATCGATACCTGGAACACTTTTCAGCCGTATGTGCTTGGTATGGCTGAAGGCTGGGCTGGTCGGTGTCGACAGGTGCATTTGCTGCAGTATTTTATGGTTTCCTGAACTGATCAGTTTCTCAGAATCCTCCATATTGCGTTTACTAAGCAGCGACTTGTCGCGGGCCACCGCGCGCTGGCGCTGAGTTCCGATCCTTGCTGTCAGCCGTCTGCCCAGCTCCCGCAGCTCGTTCGCGGGCAACATGTTGCCATTCTCACCCGAGTCCGACAGCTGCGGGTGCTTGTTATAGTGGTGCATGCACAAAATGTATAGCAGAATTAGAATCACCAAAAATCCGGTCGTCGAAGCGACAGTCAACCCAAAGACAGTACCACCAGAGAGCTTTGCGCTTTTGTAGTTCACTGTCAGCGCCGATCGCGAGGGGTCAAACTGCGCGACAAACTTCCAAATACTGGTGTCCAGCAAGTATAGTCCATAGTCTCCTGAAGCCACTTCTGTTTGGTTGGACACCATGCGGCCAAACGTCATTATCATATATGGGCCGGCCTGGGAGGCGGTGTGTCCAAACCGAGCGGCGGGAGCGCTGGATACGTTGGGCACCGACCAAACCCAGGTATCGGTGTCCAAGACAGCCACATCGCCTAATGCCTTACCAAAATCAATTGTTGCCCCGCCATGAACCACAATGTGCGTTCCGTTAACCACCGTGGCGACGTGGTTGCGCCGGCTGGCTGGTACATTGCCAGTGGCTGTCCGTTGATACCACATGCGGTGCGAGCTATTGTACACGTAGACAGTGCCCATGCCAACCAATCTGCTCCCATCGCTGCCGCCGAGTATCACCATATTGGTATCATTCACCATGCTGGCCGTGTGGCCAATTCTTCCTGACACGCTAGCCGGCAGCATGTCATTGGTCCAGGACATGAGAAGTGGACCGGAACTGACATTATCATCCAAGGTGAAAATGTTGTCGATGTCGTCATCAATACCCCGTAGTTCCAGTCCGCGGGCGTCGACATCGTCTGATGCCAACTGTGCGACACCTGTTGCTTTGGTGGTGCTGGTATTTGTCAGTGCAGGAATGCCCTTTTTAGTGCTGCTTTGGAAAGACGACGCTGATCCATCCTTTATTGTGCTGGCTCTTGTTTTGCTCGCAGCCTCAGTGGTGGTGGTACCAGTGCTAGTGTCTGACACTCCCGACAAGGGTTTCATGCTACTGAATCCAACACTCGGCTGAATGCTCGCATAGTTGTGCTTCTGAGTGTCTGTGACCATCCCCAGTGTGGCATTTGACAGAACGTACGGATCTGTATCGAAAGATCCACCGTACACTAGCATATCCCCTGTTGAGCGTTGAATGACTGCTGAGTGCCCAACCAGCGGCTGCGGAAAGTCTAGGCTATTAGGGGTGCTCCAAAATCCGATCTCAGCACTGAATAGGTGCATCGGCCCAATTCTCTCGACCTCATCAGGGACAGTTCCGCCAAATACAATGGCCATGTTAATATTGTCGTTTATAATCACTGAGTGACCGGCCACGAGCGGCCCGTTGTGATCACAAACCCATTCCCAAGGCGGATTGCTTGTCGAAAACTTTCCGCTGAGCTTCAAAGATATGCACGGTGTCGCGTAGTCGCTCTCAGCGTTCCCGTATCCTTTTTTACCGCCTAAAATATACATGGTTTGGTCCGCAATGGCCGAGGCATGGGACCAGCGCATAGAAACGCCCTGGGAATACTGCGTGGCCCTTGGAACCAGGCGAGACAAGCCATCAGCTCGCGCTGCCCTGGGCAGACGACCGGTCGGGCCGTCCGAATGGCTTAGTTTTTGCGAATCATAGGACGCCGCATGGCACCCGTAAAGTGGTGCCGCCGCAAGGGCTATAGACGCGGTTATAAGCAGAGAGTTCAATATGCGGCGAGCGCTGTATTTGCTGTTAAAAAGCCGCTGCTGGCAGTGTGGTTTTGATTCTGTGCGCGTTCTCACGCATAGGTCGTCGCCTTGACAGCAAGCGACAAACATTGCTGGCGCATCTATTTTGTCTGTGGTATTCCTGCGAGCCAACGTACGTGTCATATCCCGCTCTGTTCTGTCGATACGCGTATGTGTATGGCGATGTTTGCGCTAAAAGCAGTGGGGTTTTTCAATAGTGGCTGCGGTCTGCTCTGGGGCTGTTGACGAATGAAGTAAATGAGTAATAGTTTCGTGAATGGCGAGTAAAAATAATATTGGCGTGGAGGGAATATAGACGGTATTAAATGATAGGGTGGCAAAGATTATTAGTCGTAAAACGAGACAAAAAGAGAAGAGAAACGACAAACGAAAAAATTGAAGCGCAAAGCACTTGGGGAGCTTGAAATAATAGGAAAATAAAAATAATAGGAACAAAAATCAAAGTGATTTACACATTGGGTTTTTGTGCATGCCAAACACTCGTTTTACAAGTGTGATATGTGTTTTGTATAGCATAATGCAGCTTTCATTTATAAAAAATGCATGCGCGGACCACTTTGGACCACTGTGAACTGCATTGCTTTATTTTTATTTTTAGACTTCACAAATTTTGCTTAGGCGACTGCATGTTTTGTGCGCGTATTTTGTGCTGGTGGTCTGACAACTCTCAATGATTTGTTACAGTGATATTGTTGGGACCGCCAACCACGCGCTGGTATGTGTGACAGTGTTAATCGCATACCCATGGCTTTTTTGGGCATAAAAACCTGCATTTCTGGTGGAGATGATGCGCGCGTAAATAATAGCAGATGTAGGATGCTAGAAATGACTAATTTAGCGTCCTTATTTTGGAGTATGGTGTATATTTAACCTTTGCAAAAAAATGAAACTCTATTCCAAAAATAAACAAATCAAAACACAGCAGAGCAGAGATAAAGACTGCTGCAAAGAATAACATTTACCATATGGCCATATGTAGAGTCGGCGTATGCCCTCGGCGCCATCTCTAGATCTGAGCATTGGCGAGCTTCTCGACGGCCTCAATGACAGGTGCAGAGGTCTCAGCAGTAGGCGCTTGCGCATCGGGGCGCACGTTGTGCTTCTTCTTCTGCTTGACGGGCTTGGCCTTGGCCTGTGGCGGCGGGTAGGCCTCCAGGATAAGCTGCTGCATCTCAGGCACGGCAAAGTGCTGGCGCACAGGCTCCAGCAGCGCGTTCAGGGCCGCGGCGGTGCTGTTCTTGAGATCGCCCGGGTGGATGTTCTTGTCAGCAAAGTCACGCTCGAGGGACGCAAAGTCGTTGTACACGCTGTTTCCGCCGTACTGCTCGGGCCGCTTGATGACAAACTCCGCTTGGCCAGCGCGCAGGCTGCTGACGGGCATCAGTACAAACTTGATAAACGACAGGATGCCGTTTTCTGTGATGTTGCCTTCCTCGCAGAACGCCTTTTTCAGCTTCTTCAAAACTGCCTTCTCGTCGTCCAGAATGTCGATCTTCGAGTCAGGGTCTGAGGATGACATCTTAGAGCCCTGCAGGCCGGGAACCATGGGGTTCATCAGGTGGATGCGCTTCTTGTATCCGAGCTGCGGCATGTACTTCTCGGCGAACGTAAAGATCTTGCGCTGGTCGACACCACCAAATTGCGCGTCAACCTTGAGGTACTCCTCGTCAAGGGCCTGCATGCCGGGGTATAGAAGACCCGAGAGTAGCGCCGAGTCGACCTGCTTAACGACCTCAGCACCAGCCTTTTTGGCGTCGTGCTCGGTTACCAGAGAGGCCAGGCGGTAGTTGTCCATCGAGTACTCGGGTGTCAGCTCGAAGCTGCTGCCGACAACAAAGGTGAGCTTTTCCAGGGGAACGCCAATCGAGTTCAGCATGGCCTTGATGGTCTGCTCGTAGTACTTTGTGCGCGATTTGACCAGTTCGATCGACGACTTCAGGTTATCTAGGAACGCGTGAATGTCGGCCAATAAAATGGTAACATGGCAGCCGGCTCTCAGGTAGTCGGCAATCTTCGTCATGGCCACAAAGTAGCCAACATGGGGCC